ATTTCTGCATTGTAAAAAAAACGTCCGATGGCTAATTGAAGATGTCAAATTTGTCTAAAGTTTCAAGTTTCTTGTACAGTTTTTCGAAGAAAACGCATTTTTTTTCCGACTTTTTTTCGAACATTGGGCTGTAAGTGTTTGAGTAGTGGGCTCCATAACCTAGTAGTGAACTTTCTATATCTCAAAATTTGCGAGTTCTAGTAAACACGCTGCTACAATTGTGTGTTCATTCCATCTGATTATAGTCAATGCAGCCATGTCTTCACCAAATATTTTGTAGGTTTCAATTTCAAACTTACTTATACTTAAGCATGTCCTAAAATCCTAACTTTGATTATCTTTCTTTTTACTTTTTGCGTTAAATTGGTTTGATCAATAGTTTGTACAGGGCGTCTGCAAACTTGTTTTTTGCCGCCTTACGTTTGTTTGTATTTAGAGTTATGTATATTTCAAGCCACAATTCTTGTTTGAACTTTATGATGCGATAGAGTTTTGTATCAATTCGACCAAGCTTTACGCAGAGTTTAGAAAATTTCTAAAGAGTTAGATTTTGAGTCATGTTATCTCAATTTTTGGCCAATTTTGCACTTACCCATTTTGCAGGTCCACAGTTTTCAATGTTTTTGGTTTGGTCTGAAAGATTTGTTTGGTATCTGCTTAACCAATTTTTTGAACCACTTCCTTATGGGGTACCAATGGACACTCAGGATGACTTTCAATCAACAATTGAGGGTATTTTAAACCCATTTCATCAATATAACCGTAGTCTGAATTGTCAGGGTTGCTAAATTTTTCTATAGACAAGGAATTCTCATCTTCGTTTTCATGATCATTTCTTTCAGTTCTAACTCCGACTGTCTTGAAACGACGTGCTGGTCGTTTGCGTGTCTGCAAAATTCCACCGTATTGAAGTTGTTGACATCCACCAAGAGGTCATATGTCGTATATTTGCTCGAAATATACGTTTCGTTCAATTGTCTGTTGTTTGCAGTGAGCTGTCGCTTTTCGAAGGTTGATGCAGTTTCACTTCACATCATTTTTTCAACCATGTCTTGATGATCTCGATTCGTTAGCAACTCAACATTAGCCTTAAATACAAGCTTGATAGCGTCATCAGCCAAATTTGAAGCGATTAATTGATGAGCGCAATCAAGACCATACGTTTCACATCTGATGGATTGTTTTTCCTCAAAGACAAAAGCTAGGAGCAATGTGTCACATGAAAGATATACATCATGATAGTCACGCAGGACTTGACAATGAAATTGATTAAAAACTTCCTCCGCTCCAATCAAAATATCGACATTAATTGCAACTTTACCCCCATCTAAACTATTCACACATTTTTGAGAGGCTCTAATTCTCTTTCATCGAATTTTTTGTGGTCGATCATGTAGTTGTAAGAATAGAATCTCTTCCTTCGTATGAGATTTCTACAAGTTTAGCTTAGGTTTAAAAGTGATTTTTTCAGAATTGGGAAATTGTTTTCAGGCAAATGGTCAAATAACTTTTGCAGCAATGAGTTTAGAAACTTGATAGAATCTGTGAAGCGAAGATACTCGTAAATGTTTTGCGTCATTTGATCATTTCGTGTAATGGTTTCAACAACTACTCCAATTTTTAATGAAATATAATTCTCTTTGGTGGATTATCTGACTTGTATTAGACTCTGCGAGTCACATTCGATGAAAGCTAGACAAATGTGATGAAGGTTAAAAAACTGCAATTAATGTCCTACGACTGGAATCTATGCTACATTTCTTCACGCTAAATAACATTTTTTGTGGACCCATCCTAGAATCTATCCCGAAAAGTTACAGTGGTTCAGACACTTTTTATCGCTTTCAATTAAATTTTCTTTGCAGATCCAACAGGTCAAAGTTCCTTCTTTACATTATTGGCTACGGTCTTTTAGATTATGTGGCACTTTTCGTTGATAAATGTAAGCGTCTCAATTTAACAGATGTAACTCTCTTATAAAATTTTCTAGCTTTTTTCAGGGCTACCAAGACTACAGGAAAAAAACTCGGAGGACGCATGATCAATAGCACCCATTGAGTATCCAAAATATTCATGTTTTTCTAGAATGCGAGTTGAGCAAATTTGTGGATTGCTCATGCATGTTGTAACGGGAACATCTCATATATGTTGTTCAAGAACAATTCTAAGCCAAAACAAATAACAATAGGTGCATACCAGAGATCTTGAAAGTTGTTAAATTTGTACTTGCGGCAGCCATTTTTGGCTGTTGGCATTATCACTACAGCTGGTTTATGATCTTTACATAATCGCTCATGCCTTTTATGATCAATTTCATTGTAATGAATTTGAAAACAGTTACGGCACAACTGCAGGAAACGTCGGAATTTTTGCTTTTGAACTTCACAAACAAACCGTAGCAGGTCTTTTATCAAAACAAAGTGGTGCATTCCTGGTTCATATAACAAAAGCAGATCCATGATAACATTATCTGAACTTTCAAACTTTGAGAAAATCATTGGAAATAGATCTCCTTTTTGATATTGAAACACGTTTACTTGGACGTTATTAAGTCGCTCGAATTGAGGAACCCTGTTCAAGCTCATAGGCATAACGTAATCATCAGAAGCCTGTTGCGTTCCGGGCTTTGTATAAGTGTGTGGATCAGTCGCTTCAAGTTTAGTGTCAACTAACCTCCCAAGAATGAGATCAGGCTTGTATATAAAATGATAACCAGGAGTTAAGAATTGCTATTGTGAATTTGCCGAAAGTTGTTGTGAGTTTGCTAATTTAGCAGGGAGGGGTAAAAACGAAGAGCCTCTGATTGGAAAAACTTTTCGAAATTTAATATGTAGCTCATTTACCTGCTGCAAAACCCAACCGCTACCATGGGTCGAAAATTTCTGGAACCCAGTTTCCATTCGTCCTAGAATTTCTATAAATACTTCATTAGACAAACCGTTTGCGTACAGGGGTGTCAACATATAATAGCGAAAATTTTACCGCGTTTGTCTTCAAGTTATGCAGTGCACACTTTGATCCGAAACAACACTATCATGCTTGATTGAAGTTAGTTTAGTCGGAGTTGTACTTTCAGGGTCTGATACATTTCTATCTAACTATGTTCCATATTTTAATTGGGAAGTATAAAAAATTCAGTAACGTGATTTTCATGGCTGATTCATGAACTTCAATTGAAGCTGGAAAATTTTCGATATCGCTTGCCTGAGTGGTGAAGCTAGAGGGGTCGCTGAAGGTTGTATGTTGATGATCAAAATTAGGTAGTGCAAGCTCTGACTGCATGTGATCCATGAAACCTTTTAGTTTACAAAAACCAAGCCGACAATACTGATATAAAATGTCAAATTGATATCAAAAAAAATTTCGATAAGGGTTTTGAGTCCTTGTTTAAAACAACAGATTTCGAGAAAGCAGCAATACAAATGGTCGGAAGACTATATTCGGATGGTGCAACAAAAAGTTTATATTTCAATCAGTTATGTCTGTATCCATGTTCAATGATTGGTCTGAACATAGTAGTGCAGCATATCAAAATACTGCTCTCAATCAATTAATCAACTTTGTAGAGAAGTTTGAAGACTATAGGTACTCTTTTTACGAGATAAATTTTCAACACTTTTCCGAAAATCGATAACTCTATATTGTTTGCAAATTGATTAACAACTTGTCCAATACTGAGAACACGATAACAAGCAGTTCTATAAATTGCAAACAGAAAAAGCGGATATAAGCCTCGAATTAGTAAAAATTCGTCTACGTCTTCGAATTGTTCTGCGCCCTAAAGATGATGAGTCTCACACACTAATCACTCAACCACGCATGCTCAATACCACAAATACATAACTAGACTGATACATACATAAGCAGAGAACTGATGCTATGAAATTTCGAATGCTAGTTTGTGATTATAGCAAATGTGCGACCAAATAAGTGAACACTTTGCACTTACAATGAACCAGCTTATTTTCGAGTTAGGTTAGAAAAGCTTCGTACTAATTAACTACGCTGACCGCTTAAGTAAAAATCTTAAATTTAAAGATAAATTAGTTAGTTCAATTCAACCAAAAAAACAGCCATTCTCTAAGTTTAAGGTTTCATAATTATTTGAAATTAAGTTTAACGAGAATAGCTGTTTGCCGTCAAGTAATTTTCTCTCGCGAAAACAACTTCGCGAAAACAAGAATTAATAACTTTTTTTCGATTATTTGACCTTGACAGCCTTCTTAGTGCCGAACTCTTCAGAGGAATTAAGCTGCACTTTCTCAACAGAAGCAAAAAAGGAGCTCTAGAAAAACGAAAAGATAAATAAGATTAAGCGTTTGAAGAAAAGACTGAAGGACTTTGACTATAAGGAGCAAACGACTTTTTTGAATAAAATTTTAGAACCGAATTGCGTCAATTACTACATAATTTTGACAAAACTAAGCATACTATATCCTCGTCATTTTTTTGTCGACTGTAAACTCAAACGGAAAAAATGCGTTTATTTTCCTTTCTTCCTTTTGTCCAACGAATCCCATCTCGAACAAACACAAGCTACAACTTTCACTTTATAAACCTTTTCTATGATGATACAATAATTCTGAAGTATTTTGGAATCGCAATTCATCATGTGAACAATTATTACAAAATTTTGGATAGTCTCATCACTTTTCGCACAAATTACACACTTTGTTTAATAGCCATTCAGTCTCATTAATTAAAATGTAAGCTGACAGACCTCTGCTATTAGGCAAATTTAAAGTTACACGGTTTCAGAAAAAAGTACCAAATATCGGTTAGTCAGGACCCCCTCGGTAACTTTACGATCCCCCCCCCCCCCCCGCCTCCCAGGAATTCCATAACCAGACCACCCAACTTAGCCTTTTCAGTGTTCAGTGAGAACTCGCAAGTGTAGACTAAAATTTGCATCCTGATTTTCGATAAAGAATGGCACTATTAGTGCTATCTTAAATTAAACTTTTGAAGACTTAACTCGATAACATTTTCGAAAAAAAACGAATAGTTAAAAATGAAACTAACGAAGGAAAATATATTTCATTCAAAAATAACGACAAGTTCATTAAATAGATTACATCAACAATATTTAGCCTTGAATTTTATTTCACTTCGTACATCAAGAAAAAGAGAACAGATAATCAACCACAAGGCTATATAGTCGACAACAAAAATAAAGAAAGATCAACTAAATTGTAAGTAGAAACTGCACGAAGTTTATTACCAGGAATTAATTTCTGCTATCGGATGTGATGCTGAAGTTTGATGATTTCGAACATAGGTAGTACCAAAACTTTTTTTACTATCAGAAATTTATGATTCCTTTGACCTCGATATATAAACTTCGCACAAAAAAAAAACGTTCTTTTCGTCACCAAAAATGATTGCCTTTCAACAGTTTTCAGTTCAATTAACCCAGTGCAATTAGCAGAACTTCCATCTGTTTCCGCACTCGTTGCAAAACACGAATGTGGTCATCGGTTCATCGGCACTTCTGGTCTGCATTTGGGAGTAGGTGCAGTTTGATTTCTTGCACTTTCCGCACGTGATCAGATCAGTTGCTGTGCCTTCGACCACAGCCATTTGGTGGTCGTTTATTGCTTCTTTTGTTAGTTTTTGCCTCAGCTCTTTCATCTCACTTGAGGCCATCTGGTCTGGCGTCATGGTGGCCAACTGCTCAGGGCTAATGTCACCTGAAATTAACAGAAAATTTATAAATTCCACAGATATGCACAACTCAAGTTTGGAAGCTACGTTTGCATTCTGTTATTGATGCTGCCCCAGACAGATCGGTAGGCAAGGCTGATTTTTTAATAGGAATCTGATTTTAAATTAATCAGATCAAGCAAACGTCAGCCCTTTATATGCTCGCAGTAAAAATTACAATTTTAAGTCAATCTCGATAATTTGAAGTTTTATTAGAGAAATCTGAAAACTCAGAACAGAATTCATACCTTTGATGACCCGTGTCTTCAATTCTGGATTCTTCTTGTCCTTCAAATTGAACACCCGCGACCTAATTCTATCTTTGTACTTTGTTCCGGTGTCACCTTTATAAAACATCAGTAAATTATCATTTAATCACACGGACAAAAATATCAACTTTCACGATGAATTGAACATTATTTTGCTTGCCAACACTCGTCTAAGAAAAATCAATTGATTATTCACGAATCTAGAAACTTGAAAAATTGGCTAACAGATAGTTGGAAAACTGTCAAAATACTTGTAACGTGCCAATTGCTACAACTGACTCCGAACCAATCTGTTTACACGGAAAATCCGCCAAAATATTTGGAATCAGACGAACTCAAAAAAAATACTAACAAAACATTGAAATACTTGCTGGTGTGGACTCCTCCCCGTGGAGCAAGTGGGGACGCACGATTCATTCTGTGCGGCAAAGATTCACACAGGGGCACCGGAAAAAGGAACTTATGGAAACTGGAAACGGAATCCGAAGCAAACTCCCGAATGCCAACGGAGTGGAAAAGGCCCAGCCGACCCTTTCACCTCTCACAACAATCGAAGGCTTTGGCCTCCCCAGACCAGGGAAGGTGCGGATCAAAGGTGCCGAAGAAAGACCGGGTTTTTCTCTGCCGGACCAGGTAAGCCAGCCCACCTGGCCCGGCTGTTAGTTATGGCTGGAGACGTGGAACAAAACCCAGGACCGTACGAATGTGGGATGTGTCAAAAGAGAGTCAGCGGATGCAGCATCAAATGCACATGGTGTATGAAATGGATACAGCAGGTATGCAGCGAAATGACACGTGGACAAATCTGACAGATCGCAGGAAAGGAACGCTACGCTTTCGAGTGTTGACAGCGCAGGGAACCCAGTAAAACGACGGGAACTATAGTTCCTGGGACACCTGACGAAACTGTCCCCCCGAGCTCTGAGGTCCCAGATAGAGCAGAGAGATCTCACAGAGTCAGCAGGGGGAAGCGAAGACACCCGACAGAAGATCACAAGGAAACGCGCAGAAGGCGAAAAAACACAATACGAGAAAACCGAAGAGCCGAACGCACCAAACACAAACCCCAAAAAACAAGGAGAATAGTGACGTGGAACCTACAAGGCATCTCCACCAGAGATCAAAATCGCAGCCGCCTTAGAAGAGCAGTAGAGCATGCAAGACAGCAAAAGTGGAAGGCGGTAATGATTTCCGAAATACGATCGGAACAGGAGGGGATAAAATGGCTGGGAGACAAACCAAACCAGGCAGTAGTCATACACTCACAGAAATGTGGAGTTCTCCTGTTAGGCGATATTCTGAAAGAGTGGATAGCCAGCGGACAACAAAAAAACTTCTCCGAGCGGGTCACAGCGGTGCAGATCGGCAGGCTCCGCCTCATCCCGACCTATCAGCCCCTGTGGAGTAAGGGACCTGAGGAAATAGAAAAGTTCAGGAAAGATTTGGAAAATGAGCTTGCTCGAACTCCAAAAGAGAGCGTACCCATACTGGGAGGCGATTGGAACGCGCAAGTTGGAAGAGGGAGTCAAAGACAGGGCATACGTGGGAAGTACGGCCTAAAGACAGAGACAAAAGAAGCTGGAGAAAGTCTACTGGATTGGTGCGAAGAACACCAGCTACAACATGCCAACTCCTACTTCCCAATACGCTCCCGAGGAACATGGTTCAACCAGATGCACAGACGTTGGTACGAGCTCGACGGTTTCTTAATGAGAGCTTCCGATCGCCACCAAATGGTCCGTAGGGTAGCCACGGCGCAGGACATGGCATTATCGGACCACAAGCCCGTCTGGATTGACATTTGGCGCGAACAAAAAAAACGGCGACCTAGAATAGAAAAGAACACCGCAGATAGACTGGGAACGCATGAGAAACAAAGAAATGGCGGAAGCATACCGCAAGAAGACGGAGGAAAAACTCAACAACGAGGAAGGGAAGACTGGGACTCCATATCGCGGAAGCTCACAGATGCAGCGGAGGAAATATGTGGCACAAAGAAACGACAGATAGCCAACCCGTGTACAGTGGGATATGAAGAAGAACTGAAAAGCCTACACACGGAAATTTCCACAGAAGTAATTCACAGAAACGAGCTGATCAGCCAAACACTTGGAGAATCACATGGCATGCTTGCCGATGCCCTAACGGCATCAAGAGGAAGACTGGTAGCCGCACGCAAGAAGATGAAGAAACGCCTACGACAACTAGAAAGACTATGGTGGGACGAAATCATCATCGAGTGCGAAAACGCAGCGGAGAAAGGGGACATGGGTACCATGTACAAAACTTTAAGGAAACTGGGAACAAGATCACTTAAACACCAGACAGGCACCACTATCTCTACTGACGAATTCAAGGCCCACTTCAGCAACTTATCGAAGGACCGATATGAGAACGAACCTGGTACTTTGATGAACACAGTCAAACAGATGCCAGATAAAAGCAAAGACGTCAAGTTCATAACAGCCAACCAGAAGCTGAACACCCTTCCGTCCGAGAAAGAAATCATGGAAGCACTGGATGAGGTGAGAGAATCGGCGCCAGGCAAGGACGGGGTCCGCATGGTATACATTCGCAACGCATACTGGAAATGGAGGGAGAAAGTCATCCACCTGGTGATGAGAATGTTCACGACCAGAGCAGACCTGTGGGAAGAGTCTCTAAAGAAAGGCCAAATAGTACCATTGCACAAAAAAGGGAACATCAATGACGCCAACAATTTCCGAGGTGTGTGCCTGCTCTCAATGGCTAGTAGAATTCTAGCAAGAGTGATCGCAAACCGCCTGAGAACATGGAGCGAAGAACTCCAGGTATTGGACGAAAACCAAAGCGGGTTTCGACCAGGCAGGCCCACGGCAGACGCAAGCCAGATCTTCATAAGGATAAGAGAGGACGTGGAAGATCTCAGGAGACGGAGGATAAGAGCCGGAATCTCAGTAGAAGCCAACACAGACCCAGAAGCCAGACTTTTAGACCTAACAAAAGCTTATCCGCGGGTCAGCAAACCGGTCCTGCGGGCGGTCTTAAGGCGCTACGCGATGGAAGGCCCGTTTCTGGACACACTGATGGATTTGCATGAAGCCACAACCTATAGTATATAGGGCAAAGAGGGCGACAGCGAAGAATGGACTCCCGAAAGAGGGTTAAGAGAAGGTTGCCCATCTTCGCCTTCATTGTTTAACATATACCACCAAGTGGTAATGCGGCAAGCTGAGAAAGCCAGACTAGACAGAGCCGAGGAGAACAGTACAAACGTCGGGATAGCGTGGACGTGGATGCCGGGAAATTGCTTCCCAGGAAAAAAAACATGGTAGAAACGCACAACAGTGAAACCCAAACCGCACGAATATCATTGTCCCTGTTCGCAGACGACACCACCCCCATCGGCGAGAAGGAAGAAATAGAGTCTGGTACAGCAACAATAAAAGAAGTTATGATGAACTTCGAGGAGAAAAACAACGAAGAGAAAGAACAGAAACTAGAATTCGGAAAGGACGGATCAGGTGGCATCAGAATGCTAGGAGTGTGGATCGGGGCGAAAGAAGACATTAAGAACAGAAAAAGACGAGCAGGAGGACTATGGCCAAAGGTCAAGCGCCGGCTGACAAAGAGCAGGCTGCCGAAACGAATCCAGGCTAGAGTTGTCCAATGCTGCGTAGAAAGCGGCTTATTGTTTGACGCCAACGTAACGACATGGAAAAACTCGGAGTTAAAGTCTTTGCAAAGTTGGCTTGACCGGTGCTATAGGCACGTCTGGAGCCCAAAGTCGAAGCCGCCATTAATTGAAATGCAAGAAAAAGGAGTAAATATGCAGGACATCAGAAACCAACTGAACATCAAGACGATCCGAGGGAAAGTTGAAGGAAGAACTCTAAAACGAATAGGCCATGTAATGAGAATGGATGACAAAAGATTGACTAAAGCAGCTTGTCTAGGGTGGCTAAACGATCTGCAAACCCTACCGAAATGTCCGGGAAAAAAAGACAAAACACTACTCTACTGGCGGAAGCTCATCAGAGAAGCGGGAATGGATGTGAACGAGATAGACAAACTGACTCAGGACAGAAAAGGATGGAGGCGAGCGGTCAAAGCACGAATGGAGCACCTGCTCAACAGAAGCGCTCAACAGAAGCAAAAAAGGAGCTCTAGAAAAACGAAAAGATAAATAAGATTAAGTGTTTGAAGAAAAGACTGAAGGACTTTGACTATAAGGAGCAAACGACTTTTTTGAATAAAATTTTAGAACCGAATTGCGTCAATTACTACATAATTTTGACAAAACTAAGCATACTATATCCTCGTCATTTTTTTGTCGACTGTAAACTCAAACGGAAAAAATGCGTTTATTTTCCTTTCTTCCTTTTGTCCAACGAATCCCATCTCGAACAAACACAAGCTACAACTTTCACTTTATAAACCTTTTCTATGATGATACAATAATTCTGAAGTATTTTGGAATCGCAATTCATCATGTGAACAATTATTACAAAATTTTGGATAGTCTCATCACTTTTCGCACAAATTACACACTTTGTTTAATAGCCATTCAGTCTCATTAATTAAAATGTAAGCTGACAGACCTCTGCTATTAGGCAAATTTAAAGTTACACGGTTTCAGAAAAAAGTACCAAATATCGGTTAGTCAGGACCCCCTCGGTAACTTTACGATCCCCCCCCCCCCCCGCCTCCCAGGAATTCCATAACCAGACCACCCAACTTAGCCTTTTCAGTGTTCAGTGAGAACTCGCAAGTGTAGACTAAAATTTGCATCCTGATTTTCGATAAAGAATGGCACTATTAGTGCTATCTTAAATTAAACTTTTGAAGACTTAACTCGATAACATTTTCGAAAAAAAAAACGAATAGTTAAAAATGAAACTAACGAAGGAAAATATATTTCATTCAAAAATAACGACAAGTTCATTAAATAGATTACATCAACAATATTTAGCCTTGAATTTTATTTCACTTCGTACATCAAGAAAAAGAGAACAGATAATCAACCACAAGGCTATATAGTCGACAACAAAAATAAAGAAAGATCAACTAAATTGTAAGTAGAAACTGCACGAAGTTTATTACCAGGAATTAATTTCTGCTATCGGATGTGATGCTGAAGTTTGATGATTTCGAACATAGGTAGTACCAAAACTTTTTTTACTATCAGAAATTTATGATTCCTTTGACCTCGATATATAAACTTCGCACAAAAAAAACGTTCTTTTCGTCACCAAAAATGATTGCCTTTCAACAGTTTTCAGTTCAATTAACCCAGTGCAATTAGCAGAACTTCCATCTGTTTCCGCACTCGTTGCAAAACACGAATGTGGTCATCGGTTCATCGGCACTTCTGGTCTGCATTTGGGAGTAGGTGCAGTTTGATTTCTTGCACTTTCCGCACGTGATCAGATCAGTTGCTGTGCCTTCGATCACAGCCATTTGGTGGTCGTTTATTGCTTCTTTTGTTAGTTTTTGCCTCAGCTCTTTCATCTCACTTGAGGCCATCTGGTCTGGCGTCATGGTGGCCAACTGCTCAGGGCTAATGTCACCTGAAATTAACAGAAAATTTATAAATTCCACAGATATGCACAACTCAAGTTTGGAAGCTACGTTTGCATTCTGTTATTGATGCTGCCCCAGACAGATCGGTAGGCAAGGCTGATTTTTTAATAGGAATCTGATTTTAAATTAATCAGATCAAGCAAACGTCAGCCCTTTATATGCTCGCAGTAAAAATTACAATTTTAAGTCAATCTCGATAATTTGAAGTTTTATTAGAGAAATCTGAAAACTCAGAACAGAATTCATACCTTTGATGACCCGTGTCTTCAATTCTGGATTCTTCTTGTCCTTCAAATTGAACACCCGCGACCTAATTCTATCTTTGTACTTTGTTCCGGTGTCACCTTTATAAAACATCAGTCAATTATCATTTAATCACACGGACAAAAATATCAACTTTCACGATGAATTGAACATTATTTTGCTTGCCAACACTCGTCTAAGAAAAATCAATTGATTATTCACGAATCTAGAAACTTGAAAAATTGGCTAACAGATAGTTGGAAAACTGTCAAAATACTTGTAACGTGCCAATTGCTACAACTGACTCCGAACCAATCTGTTTACACGGAAAATCCGCCAAAATATTTGGAATCAGACGAACTCAAAAAAAATACTAACAAAACATTGAAATACTTGCTGGTGTGGACTCCTCCCCGTGGAGCAAGTGGGGACGCACGATTCATTCTGTGCGGCAAAGATTCACACAGGGGCACCGGAAAAAGGAACTTATGGAAACTGGAAACGGAATCCGAAGCAAACTCCCGAATGCCAACGGAGTGGAAAAGGCCCAGCCGACCCTTTCACCTCTCACAACAATCGAAGGCTTTGGCCTCCCCAGACCAGGGAAGGTGCGGATCAAAGGTGCCGAAGAAAGACCGGGTTTTTCTCTGCCGGACCAGGTAAGCCAGCCCACCTGGCCCGGCTGTTAGTTATGGCTGGAGACGTGGAACAAAACCCAGGACCGTACGAATGTGGGATGTGTCAAAAGAGAGTCAGCGGATGCAGCATCAAATGCACATGGTGTATGAAATGGATACAGCAGGTATGCAGCGAAATGACACGTGGACAAATCTGACAGATCGCAGGAAAGGAACGCTACGCTTTCGAGTGTTGACAGCGCAGGGAACCCAGTAAAACGACGGGAACTATAGTTCCTGGGACACCTGACGAAACTGTCCCCCCGAGCTCTGAGGTCCCAGATAGAGCAGAGAGATCTCACAGAGTCAGCAGGGGGAAGCGAAGACACCCGACAGAAGATCACAAGGAAACGCGCAGAAGGCGAAAAAACACAATACGAGAAAACCGAAGAGCCGAACGCACCAAACACAAACCCCAAAAAACAAGGAGAATAGTGACGTGGAACCTACAAGGCATCTCCACCAGAGATCAAAATCGCAGCCGCCTTAGAAGAGCAGTAGAGCATGCAAGACAGCAAAAGTGGAAGGCGGTAATGATTTCCGAAATACGATCGGAACAGGAGGGGATAAAATGGCTGGGAGACAAACCAAACCAGGCAGTAGTCATACACTCACAGAAATGTGGAGTTCTCCTGTTAGGTGATATTCTGAAAGAGTGGATAGCCAGCGGACAACAAAAAAACTTCTCCGAGCGGGTCACAGCGGTGCAGATCGGCAGGCTCCGCCTCATCCCGACCTATCAGCCCCTGTGGAGTAAGGGACCTGAGGAAATAGAAAAGTTCAGGAAAGATTTGGAAAATAAGCTTGCTCGAACTCCAAAAGAGAGCGTACCCATACTGGGAGGCGATTGGAACGCGCAAGTTGGAAGAGGGAGTCAAAGACAGGGCATACGTGGGAAGTACGGCCTAAAGACAGAGACAAAAGAAGCTGGAGAAAGTCTACTGGATTGGTGCGAAGAACACCAGCTACAACATGCCAACTCCTACTTCCCAATACGCTCCCGAGGAACATGGTTCAACCAGATGCACAGACGTTGGTACGAGCTCGACGGTTTCTTAATGAGAGCTTCCGATCGCCACCAAATGGTCCGTAGGGTAGCCACGGCGCAGGACATGGCATTATCGGACCACAAGCCCGTCTGGATTGACATTTGGCGCGAACAAAAAAAACGGCGACCTAGAATAGAAAAGAACACCGCAGATAGACTGGGAACGCATGAGAAACAAAGAAATGGCGGAAGCATACCGCAAGAAGACGGAGGAAAAACTCAACGAGGAAGGGAAGACTGGGACTCCATATCGCGGAAGCTCACAGATGCAGCGGAGGAAATATGTGGCACAAAGAAACGACAGATAGCCAACCCGTGTACAGTGGGATATGAAGAAGAACTGAAAAGCCTACACACGGAAATTTCCACAGAAGTAATTCACAGAAACGAGCTGATCAGCCAAACACTTGGAGAATCACATGGCATGCTTGCCGATGCCCTAACGGCATCAAGAGGAAGACTGGTAGCCGCACGCAAGAAGATGAAGAAACGCCTACGACAACTAGAAAGACTATGGTGGGACGAAATCATCATCGAGTGCGAAAACGCAGCGGAGAAAGGGGACATGGGTACCATGTACAAAACTTTAAGGAAACTGGGAACAAGATCACTTAAACACCAGACAGGCACCACTATCTCTACTGACGAATTCAAGGCCCACTTCAGCAACTTATCGAAGGACCGATATGAGAACGAACCTGGTACTTTGATGAACACAGTCAAACAGATGCCAGATAAAAGCAAAGACGTCAAGTTCATAACAGCCAACCAGAAGCTGAACACCCTTCCGTCCGAGAAAGAAATCATGGAAGCACTGGATGAGGTGAGAGAATCGGCGCCAGGCAAGGACGGGGTCCGCATGGTATACATTCGCAACGCATACTGGAAATGGAGGGAGAAAGTCATCCACCTGGTGATGAGAATGTTCACGACCAGAGCAGACCTGTGGGAAGAGTCTCTAAAGAAAGGCCAAATAGTACCATTGCACAAAAAAGGGAACATCAATGACGCCAACAATTTCCGAGGTGTGTGCCTGCTCTCAATGGCTAGTAGAATTCTAGCAAGAGTGATCGCAAACCGCCTGAGAACATGGAGCGAAGAACTCCAGGTATTGGACGAAAACCAAAGCGGGTTTCGACCAGGCAGGCCCACGGCAGACGCAAGCCAGATCTTCATAAGGATAAGAGAGGACGTGGAAGATCTCAGGAGACGGAGGATAAGAGCCGGAATCTCAGTAGAAGCCAACACAGACCCAGAAGCCAGACTTTTAGACCTAACAAAAGCTTATCCGCGGGTCAGCAAACCGGTCCTGCGGGCGGTCTTAAGGCGCTACGCGATGGAAGGCCCGTTTCTGGACACACTGATGGATTTGCATGAAGCCACAACCTATAGTATATAGGGCAAAGAGGGCGACAGCGAAGAATGGACTCCCGAAAGAGGGTTAAGAGAAGGTTGCCCATCTTCGCCTTCATTGTTTAACATATACCACCAAGTGGTAATGCGGCAAGCTGAGAAAGCCAGACTAGACAGAGCCGAGGAGAACGGTACAAACGTCGGGATAGCGTGGACGTGGATGCCGGGAAATTGCTTCCCAGGAAAAAAAACATGGTAGAAACGCACAACAGTGAAACCCAAACCGCACGAATATCATTGTCCCTGTTCGCAGACGACACCACCCCCATCGGCGAGAAGGAAGAAATAGAGTCTGGTACAGCAACAATAAAAGAAGTTATGATGAACTTCGAGGAGAAAAACAACGAAGAGAAAGAACAGAAACTAGAATTCGGAAAGGACGGATCAGGTGGCATCAGAATGCTAGGAGTGTGGATCGGGGCGAAAGAAGACATTAAGAACAGAAAAAGACGAGCAGGAGGACTATGGCCAAAGGTCAAGCGCCGGCTGACAAAGAGCAGGCTGCCGAAACGAATCCAGGCTAGAGTTGTCCAATGCTGCGTAGAAAGCGGCTTATTGTTTGACGCCAACGTAACGACATGGAAAAACTCGGAGTTAAAGTCTTTGCAAAGTTGGCTTGACCGGTGCTATAGGCACGTCTGGAGCCCAAAGTCGAAGCCGCCATTAATTGAAATGCAAGAAAAAGGAGTAAATATGCAGGACATCAGAAAACAACTGAACATCAAGACGATCCGAGGGAAAGTTGAAGGAAGAACTCTAAAACGAATAGGCCATGTAATGAGAATGGATGACAAAAGATTGACTAAAGCAGCTTGTCTAGGGTGGCTAAACGATCTGCAAACCCTACCGAAATGTCCGGGAAAAAAAGACAAAACACTACTCTACTGGCGGAAGCTCATCAGAGAAGCGGGAATGGATGTGAACGAGATAGACAAACTGACTCAGGACAGAAAAGGATGGAGGCGAGCGGTCAAAGCACGAATGGAGCACCTGCATAAATGGGAAAAGTCAAATGCGAAAAGACAAAACGGTGAAACGACAGAAAGGAACTCCTATACCCCACAAGCAACATCGAACACGTGTGAGTTATGCGAGAGGGATTTCAAAAACCAGGGCGGCCTGAGAATCCATATCAAAAGGATGCACAAAGAGGCGAGGGTGACTTTTGCATGCAACAAATGCGGAGCTATCTTCAAATCTGAAAACTCGGAAAAAACCACAAGAAGACATGCGAGGGAGACAGGAACAATGAAGATGGAACCAAGACATGTGGCAGATGCGACAGAACCTTACAGGCCCGAAACATGGCACGCCACAATAGACAGAACCGCAAGGGAAACCGGGTACCAGAACAAGAGGCAAATTAACAACACCATCAACCCCGCGTATACAAACAGAAATGGACTATATGTCCGAGATGTAACGAGAGGAAACCCGCTTCAAACTTAGCAAGGCACCTAAGGATATGCCTCACGTCCATGGTCAGGGGAGAGGACATACCCTTTGAACCAGGAGGGTGAAAGTCTACATACAAAACATTGAAATCCACATGCAGCCGAATAATTCAAAACATTCAAATTGTGGAAAAGAGTGAAAAATCACAGTCAGATATAGAAAAGAAGAGAGTGTCCTATTTAAAGCGTTCATTTTCGGTATTGGGCGGTGATTTTTCTATTCTTTCTAAAAATTGAGTGTTTTTAATTAATTGGTTGCACGTGGATTTCAATTTTTTTTGTCGATTGTTCCGACCATTGAAAATGGGAGGAACTTTGAATTCGGCGGTTTTGTGTTTTTTTTCCACGCAAAATCAGCTACCACAAATAACAGAGGCGACGCTGCGCCTCGCAAACAATAGCAAGAGCAGGATCGAAATTAGATGTCAGTAACTATCGGCCATTATCACTTCTTGTAACCTGGAGTAAGGTATTTGAACGTGCTATGTACAACCGAGTGTATAGCTATCTTGAAGCAAACTCACTAATTTATATCAAAAACAGTTTGGTTTCCGAAAAAAACACAGTACTATTGATGGTATTGCCGAAGTAACAGAAAAATGTCGCTTAGATAAAACTAAATCACCCAACAGAACAGATTTTCTTGATTTAAAAAAGCTTTTGACACACTGGATCACGAGATTCTTTTTCATAAGTTAGAAATGTATGGTGTCAGTTGAAAAAGTCTACTTTGGTTTAAAAGTTACTTGAAGCACCGCAAACAACTTGTTCAAATTGGTGAAACGCGATCAACGTGGCGAAATCTTAAATGTGGTGTCCCACAGGGATCCATTTTTGGGCCTCTGCTGTTTCTTATATATAAACGACCTTCCAAAAGTGTGTAAATTTAGCGAAGTTTTTCTATTTGCCGACGACACAAACGTCACTGGACTGAACTGCTCGGTTGAGAGCTTCAATCAAGACATAGAAGCGATAAATAAATGGTTAATTTTGAATAAATTATCTCTAAATATAGACAAAATGGTACAAGTTAGTGTATCTCTCAACAGTGGTTCCAACCACCAATTGTTTATTAATAGCATACCTTTGAAAATTGAAGGGTCATGCAAATATCTTGGTGTTTATGTAGCTGCTAAATTATCATTTAATTCTCACATTAATTTCATACGATCCAAGCTTAGAAAACAATGTGGCATTGTTTCGAAAATGCGTCATTATATTCCCAAAACTGTTATGATTGATTAAAATTAAGCCCATTTTGCAATATGGAAAATTAGTGTATGGTTGCACTTCCTACACAAAACTTTTACTTTTTTATCCAAAAAAAACTGTTCGATTTATTTTTTTCAAAAGAAAATACGAAAACATTCGATAAGTTTTTTATGATGAAAAATTTTTTAACAGTTCACGAGCTGCATGTGTATGAACTCCTCGAATTTGTTTTGCGATCAATAGCAGGACTACACTCTGAACCTTTTTTAAACGAGCTTTTGTAATTGATAAACCGTCGTATATGACCAGAAGGTCAAATTTTAATCTAATGAAAATTCCTAATTTCAAAAGCATCAAAGAGTTTCAATTAGTTACAGAGCAATTAAGCTCTTTAATATACTTAGACAAAATTTCCTAATTCCAATTTTTTTTGGACAAGTTTCAAATTCAGATATTCAACGCAGCATTGCCCACGAAACTCGGGATTTGTTTATATTAAGCAATGAAGAGCTAATCAAATTTGTTTTTTGTTGACTTTTTTTGTGGATGCAAGGATAATGCTGGAGGATGACAGATGTGGAGTGCCTGCTTGTTTGAAGTTTTTTCTAAGTATTTTTGTATAAAGTTTTCAATGCGTCATCGGCGTTTTGAATACCACACTTAGGCTTGTTCGCTGGTTACTGCCGCATGGGCTCAGTTGGATGTCTACTGACCGTTTAGCCCCCAATCAGCTCTGCTGATGTTAGAGGCTTCAAGGGATGGAACACAGTTAGTAGAAGCAGTAACCGTAAAGGGAACAAGTTCAAATTTTGTTTTTGAAACCGAATAGGGGTGCCTACGACTAGCGAGTTTCAGAAATTATGAGCGATGAATTTGAACTAACTTCTTCTTTGATTTCGTTACCTTGTCTTTGAAGATCACAAATTTGTCTTTCATTTGATAAAACGGGCAGTGGTGTGTAACCAAATTGGGTTCATTAACTGACCCCTCACTGTTTCTGGTGTTTCATATTTAAATTCTCTTTGTATGCAAATTTACCATTAACAATGAGAAATAAATTCTTTCTTTCTTCTTTCTTTCTAAGAAGACGACAAAAAGCCGCTCTACAAAAAGCAAAAAAAAGTGAAATAAGCCTTGAATAAAAAAACTCGGCAACGTATCGGATTTGATCTACGACCAGGAGATTATGAGTCTCACGCACTAACCACTCAGCGACGGACACTTAATAAATCACAAACACTAGCCACAAATAAAGCCGAGGACAAATTCTATGAAATTTCCAATGCTACAGTTTGTGATTATAGCAAAATTGCCACCAAATATGCAAACATTAATGAAGTTAGATTTGTGAGTTAGTTTAGAAAAAGAAGATTCATACTAATACACAACGCTACGATCAATAGCAGGACTACACTCCGAACCTTTTTTAAACGAGCTGTATGTATTTGATAAACCGACGTATATGACCAGAAGGTCAAATTTTAATCTAATGAAAAGTCCTAATTTCAAAAGCAAAATTCAAAGAGTTTCAATTAGTTACAGAGCAATTAAGCTCTTTAATATACTTAGACAAAATTTCCTAATTCCAATTTTTTTTGAACAAGTTTCAAATTCAGATATTCAACGCAGCATTGCCCACGAAATTCGGGATTTGTTTATATTAAGCAATGAAGAGCTAATCAAATTTGTTTTTTGTTGACTTTTTTGTGGATGCAAGGATAATGCTGGAGGATGACAGATGTGGAGTGCCTGCTTGTTTGAAGTTTTTTCTAAGTATTTTTGTATAAAGTTTTCAATGCGTCATCGGCGTTTTGAAGACCACACTTAGGCTTGTTCGCTGGTTACTGCCGCATGGGCTCAGTTGGATGTCTACTGACCGGTTAGCCCCCAATCAGCTCTGCTGATGTTAGAGGCTTCAAGGGATGGAACACAGTTAGTCGAAGCAGTAACCGTAAAGGGAACAAGTTCAAATTTTGTTTTTGAAACCAAATAGGGGTGCCTACGACTAGCGAGTTTCAGAAATTATGAGCGATGAATTTGAACTAACTTCTTCTTTGATTTCGTTACCGTGTCTTTGAAGATCACAAATTTGTCTTTCATTTGATAAAACGGGCAGTGGTGTGTAACCAAATTGGGTTCATTAACTGACCCATCACTGTTTCTGGTGTTTCATATTTAAATTCTCTTTGTATGCAAATTTACCATTAACAATGAGAAATAAATTCTTTCTTTCTTCTTTCTTTCTAAGAAGACGACAAAAAAGCCGCTCTACAAAAAGCAAAAAAAGTGAAATAAGCCTTGAATAAAAAAACTCGGCAACGTATCGGATTTGATCTGCGACCAGGAGATTATGAGTCTCACGCACTAACCACTCAGCGACGGACACTTAATAAATCACAAACACTAGCCACAAATAAAGCAGAGGACAAATAAAGCAGAGGACAAATTCTATGAAATTTCCAATGCTACAGCTTGTGATTATAGCAAAATTGCCACCAAATATGCAAACATTAATGAACTTATATTTGTGAGTTAGTTTAGAAAAAGAAGATTCATACTAAAACACTACGCTCGCATTTTCGCTAGTGAAATCATCGGAGTTTAGTAATATATCATATTGAAGCATCATTGATATATGATAACTCGAACGACATTCAAAAATTGTCGAGCAACACCGTTTCAAAATTTTTGATTTTAGTCTAATTTGAAGCTAGCAACACGATTGATTAACGCTCTTTAAATGAAAAAAAAATGTTTTTTAGATTTCTAGGAAAAAAACTTAAATTTTACTATACAGAAAATTATTTTTGGATTTTTCATTTAGCCTTTGTTGGGCAGAAAACGCTTTCTAAACAAAATAACTTTTTTTTCTTCATTTTTTGAAAACAATTGTTGTCGATCATGCTTAATTTACTAATTTTGTACGCAATCGTAATTCGTATAGCTTTCGAGTCACGTCACCCACTAAAAAGTACACTATTTCAAAGAAACTTAAAAAAAATTTTTTTTCTATGAATATGGTCGAAACATTCTGTACTAGTTTTCCTTTTTGAGTTTACCTGATTCCAATAAATAGGCAGATTTCCCAATATTCCATGTGACAGATTGATTCGAAGTCAATTGTTGCAATTGTCACGTTACAATACTCAAGCAGACCAAAAAAAATCAACATGATTTTTTTTACAATTTCAACCTTCCAGATTCATGGAAACCAATGTCACCTAAAATTTCTTAGGACTTCAAGAATAATTTATGATTGATTAGTGTTTCGATAAAACTAACCCAATTTCAGAAATCTGAATCAAAAGATACTTATTTTCAGCGGGAATTCTCAAAATTAGAACCCATTTTGAAACTAAAAATTATTCACTTTTTTCGCGCCATTCGAACTTTTCTTTTGCAGCGTGTACTTTGCTTTCCTTTTATAGCAAACGAATTTGAGCGTGAAAAATTTCACGCATTTTCTGAAAAAAAACAACACAACACATAAGTGACTCACTACGTTCATTCACACTTTTAAAACAGAAACTGACCAAAAATGAGGAAGATGTTGTCTTCAATCAAGGCAGACAGCTCCTCCAAGTCGGTGAAAATGACCAACTCGTCGGCCGTATTCTCCTTCAAGGCCTTCTGAATCAACTCTCTGCACTTCTCTCTCACTGCATTCTTAGTGGGAGCTGAGTTAGCCACTCTTCCTCCCTCTATCGATCCATCTTCGTTCCCATTTTTTGATGCCTGTAGACATCAAAACTTAGCTAGGAACTACTCTGCATGTATTTATTTTCTCTTGTTCCGAGCTACACTTCCTTCTTTTCTCCTCTTGAAAACGCGTATTAAGGCCAACAGTGAAAAACCATTTCCTTCTCACCACGAGCGGGTATCTTCTACCACCTGCGGTTTGAAATATGTCAATGTTCCAAACTTTTTCATACTACATATTTAATGCAATGGATTTTTTGTTATATTACATAGAAACACGTCATAAGGAAGCATCATCAAAGAACTTCGACCACAAACAAATTAGTTTCAAAAACATTAATTAAGCATTTGGCTTTTTATGAAAAGGATCAAACCAAGGAGCCAAAAATGAAGCAAAATCCATGTTGCTAAAAACGCACTTGACCCCTTTTGAGGTGCTAATATCAAAGCTTTGAAAATAAATACATACTGATTTTTTTTCAAGTCGCAAACGTTATTGCAATTTTCAAAATCAGGCACACTCAGTTTCTATAATTTTCACCTGATTGTGCTCATAACTTAGCGAAAATTGATAGGACAAAAAAAAAAACAAAAAATACTTCCTAAAAATCATACACTAAAAACACGTAGTTATACACAGGCGAAGCGGAGATTCGTACCGCTTGCACTACAACGCAAACCAAGTCAAAATATTCGGGCGAAAATGAAAAGTCCCTAAGTTGAAAAAAAAAACGAAAAAAAAAAAGATCTACCAAAGTTCGAGAGGTAAGGCTATTTAAAGTTAAATTAGGATCGGGACAAATCTTACGAAGCGATACTGACAGTTGGAAAAGATTAATGAACGCATGGAAACTTAAAAAACCGACTTGTTTTTTCAAAAACCTTCAACTTTTGAAATTCAAAGAAAAGAAGACGGCCTTAAAGCTCTTTGAATTTATAGAACTTATGATGAACACTTTTTTGTTAATATTAACCCAATTTGAGAAAACTGGATCAATAGGTAAAACTTTTATTTTGCTGTGAAATCTGATAATTGATTTCCATTTTCGAAATTAGAAGTCGATCACGTTTTTCGTGACCTTTAACATTTTTGCTGTTCGATAGAGGAGTTTGCCTTCCTTTTAACAATAGAAATGCTCTGAAATAAAAAAAATCACAAATCAAACCGCGAAAAAAGAAAATTGAGCGTGAACAAATTATAAGACTTTTTCCTGAAAAAAACAAAATCAGCAAGACCTATATAAGAGTACTCACTACGTTCATTACTCTTAATAAAAACAAGGATAGCCGGTTGCTGTGCAAGTAGCACAATGTTCAGACCACAGTCATATAAAACTACAAAGAAAGTGGTTTCTTTTTTCTTCAAATTAGTGTCGTTTCCTGTAGGTAGTGTGATGGGAGAATTATAAAAACGCGTATAAAGTTTGAAAAAATGAGGCATAATCGACAACAGTTGTCATCAAACGACGAAAGATTTCTAATTTGTTGAAACCAAAATTTAAAAAAAAAACTTATTGCCGAAAGCACGAAAAAAGCTTCAAAAACTTTAAAGAACGTTCGAAATTTCAAACCTGTTTTCTCGACACGGGTAAGTTTTCGATATTATTCAATGCTCTCGAATCACGACTGAAAAAGCTTTAATATGATACATCACTCAACCACCTCCGATGATTATGTGGTACCTGATTTTGCGTGGAAAACAAAACAAATGAAGAAAAAAACACACCCAAATACAAAGTTCGTCCCCATTTGCAATGGCCGGAACAAAAAACTTAATTAATAAAGAGCCTCCTCAAAACAATCACGCAAAATTTTTCAAAAGCCGCAAAATGAGGCTACTAAACCGATATATTCTTAACCGAAACCTTTTAATCCAAACAAAAGGGGAAAAAGGAAAAAAAAAACGAAAAACTCTGAAACAATATTCCACAGAAGCAGTTCACTGGCGTTTTACGTTATTCAAAATTAGTTCAACAAGCAAAATTAAAAATCTTAAACTACTTCATAAACTAAGCCAAAATTCAATAAACCGAGAAATTTGAGCCAAAAATAATTGAGAAAGGATAAAAAAAATCAAGAATCAATGAAGAGCCTGGCAATTCTCTTTTTAAACGCAAGCACAACGCAGGACTCTTAGAGACGAAATTTACTACTCCCTTAACTCTCAGAAAATGACAAGTCAATGAACAAAACTAGTAGGAGGGAAAAGTATAGTACCCGATCGCAAATCTAGTCTAGTAAACTAAATGTTTCAAAATTACAAGATAGGAACTTTTGAATATTCCAAATATGGGGAAACTCGATAAAGTGTCACAACTTTACCTACTCTTTTTGTGTCTTTTAACTTTCATTTGGTAACACTATTGCAGCCGAAATCAGCCAGGCTGTGGTAGAATTGAAGCTAGCGCTCAAGTGAGACTAGCTATCATTGCCACGGTAGGGGATTGAATACGCGATCTGATGATCTCAAGGTGAAAGCCTTACCACTACGCTTAGTGCCTCATAAAAGACTTGCACAAAAGTTTTTTGAAGGGGTCAATTTTTGGAATTTCATAAAACATAGCCAACAGACAATTGGAAAAGAGCCAATGAACGCAAATAAAAAGAAAAACTGACTCGTTTTTTTTTGAAAAAAAATCTCGAATTTCAATGAAAAAATAGATGCCCTGAAATGTCTTCGAATTTCTAGAACAACTAATTTTCGGCCTATTTTCGATAAACCAACCCAATTTGAGAAAACTGGCTCAATAAAAAAATCTTTTATTTCGCTGAGAAACCTGAACATGAAATTCCTTCATCGAAACTAGAAGTCGATCACGTTTTCGTGACCTTTACACTCTTGCTGTTCGATTGTAGAGTTTACCTTCCTTTTAACAAAAAAAAAACGAACTTAACTTAAGAAATCATAAGTCCAACCGCGAAAAATTAAAATTGAGCCTTAAATTAAAATTGAAAACAAATTTTGACTTTTCCTAAAAAAATCACGACCTATATAGGAGTCTTAACTACGTTCATCAATAACGTACGACTGTTATTTAAGAAAATGGACCTCTGCGAAGAATACTCCAGAGAGACGACTTTCAGAGGCCACCCTGAGACCACCTTTTGTATACAGCTATATAGATCTCCTCTACCTGAGATAGAGTGGCCTGACTGTCCCTGGATGGTGTTGATTCCCTAGAAGACTCTTTGGAACTGGAGGAGTGTTTCTCTTTCTTCGCAGGAGGGGGTCCATCTTCATCTGCATTATTACTGCCACTGTTTGAGTTATTTGAGTTGTTCGAAGAAACTTCGCTGTTGAGTAGCTTTTTCCACGACTTGATAAGATCCTGAATACGAAAAAGCACATTAGATTGATCACATAGTGAGCAAACGAAAAATTATGCTTTTAATCTTACAAAAGATTAGATGTTAAATTCGCATTGGTTCTTATACTTCAAGATTTAGTTCTCTCTACTTGACTACATGATAAGTTGCTTAGGTTTAAATACACCTGCAAAAATAAAGACAACTTTTAAGCGCAAAAATCTTTGTTGAGATAAATCAATAACAAAACTTAACTTCTAATTTTGTCAACACTTTCCGTCTATCCAAACGAAACTACCTTTCTAGTTACTGAACACAGCGGCGTGAAATCTCTACAAATGTTCTCAAAAAGTTGAAGGATATGTTTTACACAACAGGTACCTTGCACAATTGGCTGATATCTGAGTTGTCAGTTGCTTTTCTCAGATTATTAATAGTCATTCCCACCCTCGTCTTTTCCAACACATCTAACTTCATGGAAAGACACTTGAGTTGCAACAAAAGTTCCCGAGTATGGCCACTGTTCATGTCCTCACTGTTTCGCATGGCCTTCTCCAGGTCCTTCTTCAGTCCATTTTCGATATTATTCAATGCTCTCGAATCACGACTGAAAAAGCTTTAATATGATACATCACTCAACCACCTCCGATGATTATGTGGTACCTGATTTTGCGTGGAAAACAAAACAAATGAAGAAAAAAACACACCCAAATACAAAGTTCGTCCCCATTTGCAATGGCCGGAACAAAAAACTTAATTAATAAAGAGCCTCCTCAAAACAATCACGCAAAATTTTTCAAAAGCCGCAAAATGAGGCTACTAAACCGATATATTCTTAACCGAAACCTTTTAATCCAAACAAAAGGGGAAAAAGGAAAAAAAAACGAAAAACTCTGAAACAATATTCCACAGAAGCAGTTCACTGGCGTTTTACGTTATTCAAAATTAGTTCAACAAGCAAAATTAAAAATCTTAAACTACTTCATAAACTAAGCCAAAATTCAATAAACCGAGAAATTTGAGCCAAAAATAATTGAGAAAGGATAAAAAAAATCAAGAATCAATGAAGAGCCTGGCAATTCTCTTTTTAAACGCAAGCACAACGCAGGACTCTTAGAGACGAAATTTACTACTCCCTTAACTCTCAGAAAATGACAAGTCAATGAACAAAACTAGTAGGAGGGAAAAGTATAGTACCCGATCGCAAATCTAGTCTAGTAAACTAAATGTTTCGAAATTACAAGATAGGAACTTTTGAATATTCCAAATATGGGGAAACTCGATAAAGTGTCACAACTTTACCTACTCTTTTTGTGTCTTTTAACTTTCATTTGGTAACACTATTGCAGCCGAAATCAGCCAGGCTGTGGTAGAATTGAAGCTAGCGCTCAAGTGAGACTAGCTATCATTGCCACGGTAGGGGATTGAATACGCGATCTGATGATCTCAAGGTGAACGCCTTACCACTACGCTTAGTGCCTCATAAAAGACTTGCACAAAAGTTTTTTGAAGGGGTCAATTTTTGGAATTTCATAAAACATAGCCAACAGACAATTGGAAAAGAGCCAATGAACGCAAATAAAAAGAAAAACTGACTCGTTTTTTTTTTGAAAAAAAATCTCGAATTTCAATGAAAAAATAGATGCCCTGAAATGTCTTCGAATTTCTAGAACAACTAATTTTCGGCCTATTTTCGATAAACCAACCCAATTTGAGAAAACTGGCTCAATAAAAAAATCTTTTATTTCGCTGAGAAACCTGAACATGAAATTCCTTCATCGAAACTAGAAGTCGATCACGTTTTCGTGACCTTTACACTCTTGCTGTTCGATTGTAGAGTTTACCTTCCTTTTAACAAAAAAAAAACGAACTTAACTTAAGAAATCATAAGTCCAACCGCGAAAAATTAAAATTGAGCCTTAAATTAAAATTGAAAACAAATTTTGACTTTTCCTAAAAAAATCACGACCTATATAGGAGTCTTAACTACGTTCATCAATAACGTACGACTGTTATTTAAGAAAATGGACCTCTGCGAAGAATACTCCAGAGAGACGACTTTCAGAGGCCACCCTGAGACCACCTTTTGTATACAGCTATATAGATCTCCTCTACCTGAGATAGAGTGGCCTGACTGTCCCTGGATGGTGTTGATTCCCTAGAAGACTCTTTGGAACTGGAGGAGTGTTTCTCTTTCTTCGCAGGAGGGGGTCCATCTTCATCTGCATTATTACTGCCACTGTTTGAGTTATTTGAGTTGTTCGAAGAAACTTCGCTGTTGAGTAGCTTTTTCCACGACTTGATAAGATCCTGAATACGAAAAAGCACATTAGATTGATCACATAGTGAGCAAACGAAAAATTATGCTTTTAATCTTACAAAAGATTAGATGTTAAATTCGCATTGGTTCTTATACTTCAAGATTTAGTTCTCTCTACTTGACTACATGATAAGTTGCTTAGGTTTAAATACACCTGCAAAAATAAAGACAACTTTTAAGCGCAAAAATCTTTGTTGAGATAAATCAATAACAAAACTTAACTTCTAATTTTGTCAACACTTTCCGTCTATCCAAACGAAACTACCTTTCTAGTTACTGAACACAGCGGCGTGAAATCTCTACAAATGTTCTCAAAAAGTTGAAGGATATGTTTTACACAACAGGTACCTTGCACAATTGGCTGATATCTGAGTTGTCAGTTGCTTTTCTCAGATTATTAATAGTCATTCCCACCCTCGTCTTTTCCAACACATCTAACTTCATGGAAAGACACTTGAGTTGCAACAAAAGTTCCCGAGTATGGCCACTGTTCATGTCCTCACTGTTTCGCATGGCCTTCTCCAGGTCCTTCTTCAGTCCATTAACTCGCTCCTCGCTACACGTGTTGCTCATCATGCACAAGCTACACAACCATATACGTTCTCAAACAGACAAAATTATGACAACAGAGTTGAAAAACTATTAATGAACTAACTAAAAAAAAGGCTAAAAAACTATTCATTAGAATTCAAAAAAATTACATCACCGTAATGAGCTTGCCACAGAAAAACGACAGGCAACAAAACAGAAAGAACTTCGTGTTCAAACAAAAGAAATTTTCCAGGTAAAATTTTGGAAATTGACTACACCGATGCATGCACAAGATTCGCATAACCAGTTATGTTGTCTCGAAGTTTTGTCGATTTTTCTGGTATACTAGCCCAAGACCTTTTAATATCTCTAAGTAACATCATAACAGATTCGTCAGTTTTTTGACGCCGGACCGCGTAACTCTTTCAGTTCTTTTGCATGTCGTTTTTCCGCGGCTTAAATAACAAGTCAGACTAGACTTATCAGCTTCTCAAAGAACCAATTTGAGCCCAAAAATTTTGAACTCCTTGGGTTGTGTGCAGTGATATTTCCACATTAAAAACACATCTGAAATTAGTTGTGCTATCCTGGCTATTTTACGCCTTCAAAACAAGATTTGCTAATTGTCAATCCGGCTAGCTCCTTCCAAATGACATCATCTTACTGGTGTCAAAATTTCAACCCTATACCTTACATAGTTGCAGAGAAAAAGTCAAGAACGTGAAAACATTCGTTAACTTGCTCGTTGAAATAAAAACTTGCTTTTTTTCTGTCCCGTGGCCGTAGATCTCGAGCCGTTACAATGAAATTAAGACAAAACGCCATTAAGCTTCTGATTCTTCTGCGCGCTTACTAGCCATCGCCAATCAAGTTTGAAATTTATCAAACTGGACTGAATTCGGCGCGTGAACACATCAGCAATCTCGAAGGTTTACCTGCTCTGTTTCAATCAAGCCTTATCGAAGCGCGGGGTAGCTTTAGCTAATTCACATAATTAACTTTTTAATTGATAATGAGGTCAATAGAACACAATGCAAAAAAAAACATTTCAATCTTGAACTATTTTTTACGGTTTTGTGACATTCCGTACTCAATTGCAGTAAAGCAAACTTACATTTTGTTAAAGCCAGATTTCGACACAGCCGAAGCGGAACTTTGCAGTACTTGCAAAATCACAAAAAATGAGCCTTTCAAGCTAGCAGACGAAACTGAAACGAAGGCTACTAAGGCTGACAAAATTGAAACGAAACTACAAAAAAAACACAGTGCTTGTCTCGAAAGATGTTCAATTTCAGGAAAACACATCTCGAAAGATGTTCAGGAAAACACGTTAAGCAACACAAATAGCCGAATTTGATAAGTATCAAGAAACCTTTATCGAGCAGCACCTAAGCCGATAAAAATTAGGTAAATACCAGTGGAGTCCAAAACAAAAGTGGATCACTAAGCCGTTATAACAGAGACCATTTAGATGAAAAAAAAACCTTGAGCGACAAAAAAGAATCAACACAAAGCCAGAGTTCCGCAGATTCATAAACTATGCACAGAAACGAAGCAGAGCTTCGCACTACTTGCTACACTACATAAATAACCAATTGCGAATTAGCAGACAAAAACTGAAACGAACGTCAAGAAGTCGAAAAACAATGATTACCAAAAATTTCAAAATTTTGTCTCTAATGAAGTTTTATTTGAGAAAAACACGTCCAGCAAAGAAATCGGTGACGTTAAATAAGCATTCCGAAGCATTAGTCGAGCAGCAACTAAGCCGAGATAAATTAAGATGAGCTTGTTGACTCAAAAATGTAGCTGAAAAGTTTTGAGCTATAAAATTCTGAACTTCTATTGTTTCTCCTTTTGTGTTTCCGGAGAGAACGGTCCGTTAAGTCTTTCCTTTCCGTTAAACAACACAAAATTCGGTCAGTATGCCTAGAAAACATAAGTATAAATTATTTGTACCGAATGAATTACGCGAAAAAAAATTTTTAAAAAAATTACGCGAAAAAATTAAAAATAAACAAACTCAGGGGTCCAAAGTGGCAACTAAGCAGACTAGCAATACGTCGACATGTTTTTTGATAGTTAATGCTTTCAGTTATGGAAAAAAATAGGTCCTGACCGTGTTCGAGCCTAGGACCTTTAAATTCAAGCTTTGAAAAAACCATTAAACTTTGTGAAGATTTTATATCTTAGTTTTTTTAAGAAAATTTTAAGTGGAAACTTAAAGCAATTGAGCAGACGCATTTGGACGCTAGATTTGCATCTCCTGAGAGTACTCTCACAGTAACCAACTACAGGGTTAGAAATTTCGAATTTTCAGAAAAATTTTAAACTTAGATTTCGAAAAAAAAATTAAAAACCATAAAAACGTCACATCTGGAAAATTAAAAAGTCCTGAGCAGTCAGATCTGGCGGCGAGATTTGCCACCCCTTTGAGTACTCTGGCATACCCCAACTAAAGGGTTGGGATTTTCAAAATTTGAAGAAAAAAAATTGAAGTTTTCTGAAAAAATCTGAAAAACGTCATATCTCGAAAACTACAAGGATTTGAGCAGTCACATTTAGAGGCAAGATTCACAATCCTCGAGAGTACTCTAACAGCACCCAGCTACAGGGTTAAGAATTTCAAGTTTTAGTTAATTATTTTATCAGTTGTTTTCTGAATAACTTTGAAAAAATCACAAAAATCGTCTCATCTCGTACACTAAAAGGATTTGGGCATTCTCAATTGGAGATCAAATTCGCAACCCCTGAGGAAACTCTGAAAGCATCCCATTTTTGTGTTGCTACTTTTTAACTCGGTGGAATTATTACTTGATTCAAACTGGAAAATCGAAAAAAAATTCTTACGCAGTGCAATATACGATATAGCCTAACCACGCATAGATACGTTTTGCCCTTAACTGTTGTACAGAAAACGCTTAAGAATGACAAGATACGTGTCACACCGCATTTAAATAAAGTATAGATAGATTTCGTATTTAGAACTCGGACACGCTGTAACTATGCCTGTTGTTGACAATATGAGAGTCAACAAAAATATTCAAGTGATTTTGTTGAGCAAGTCAACTGAATTAAAGTCCATGTATAGATTTTAGAAGGTTTGCGAACCGTAAGCGTCACAAAATTGCCAAAAGAAGTGTCAATGAACTCATGGAAACCGAAATAAAATGATTATCAGATCTTGAAGAAAAAAATATATCAGGTTCAGGCTCTTTAATTTTTTCACTATTTCACCACTATCAAACTTTTTCATAAAGCTAGCACAATTGGAAAAAAACTGCTGCGTCAACGGGTATTTTTTTATTCAGGTGTAAAATCTAAAAAAACTTTATTGAATATAAAAAGAAATCAAAAGCCAAACCACCAAAAGTCAAGTCGTAGTGTGATCAAGTCGTAATGTGATCAAGTCAAGTCGTAGTGTGATCAAGTCGCAGCTTTCTTTACAACGAAGCTGCGTCAACGGGTATTTTTTTTATTCAGGTGTAAAATCTAAAAAAACTTTATTGAACATAAAAAGAAATCAAAAGCCAAACCACCAAAAGTCAAGTCGTAGTGTGATCAAATTATAAGTTTTTTTTTCTGGTAAAAAAATTAAACACGACATATCTGAGTTTTTTCAAAACCTTCATTGACAGTTAAAAATTGAACAAAGCTCAAACTCATGCTTGGGCAACAAAATATGTCAAATAAAACTGAAGTTATGACAAAAGTTGGAGCTCTGCGCCTGAAATTGTACGTTTCCGCCGTAATATGTCGCCTATTCTAACATCATACCACCTAAATTGATTGTTCCTGATCATTAACAGTTATTGTTACATTAAAAAGCATGCATCGAGCTCATTGAAAAACGAACCTGCTGAAAAAGTCACAAAATACACTTTTTCCTGAAAAAAAACGCAAACTATATAAGTTAAGATCTGGGCTTAAACACACCACATCAGGGTTTAACAAGTTACCCTTGACAGTGAAGGCTCATTTGTCATTGTTAGATCTGGTAATTAAAGAATTAACCACTCTTTAGCTCATTCGAAAAGTTTGACACATTATTGGAGCCCCGCGCTCAGCCAATAGTGTCTTATTAGGCAAAAGAAATCGTGAAAAAAACTTGATCGTTCTCAATGATTTGAGCCCACTTTTCTTAGAAATTCACAACTTCGTGCTTTTTAAATGAAGTTGCTTAAAATAACGTCTGTTACAGATTTGATTTCAATTATACGGACAGAAATTTGAAAGCAAATCCAAGTATTCAACGAAGCTGAGATTCGAACTCCATCATTGGCCTAAATAGCCTACCGTTTTAACACCTCAGCTCAACTGCCTTGTATATAAACTCAATTGGTCGCAAAAAACTTATTAAATGAATTTCGATACGCTACAAATAAAGCGCTGATACAATCTAAGGAAACTATTGAGCACTTGCTAACCATCAAGAAACTAACGCAAACATCAAAAATATTCAACTAAGTTGAAAGACAACGAGTTACATTTTTAATTGTCACTCAGAAGATCATCTAGTATTTTCCCGAAAAGGGATGCTTTTCAAAAACGTTCGCAACTTTTTGATGACCTTCTTTAAAGATGGACTAAATTGATTTTTCGAGCTCCGCATCAAACATCATATATACCGTATATTCCGCTGCAGGCGATTTTACCCAAAAAAATCAGGGAAAAAAGTCTCTGTTAGGGAACTGTTTCGAAAGTTCTGACGCTCACTTTTTTTCACACTCACACGTTTTTCCGACGCTGACGCCCCCCTCAAATTTACTTAGAATTTAATTGCGCCCATCGAACCATTTTGAAAATTTTCAAGTCGGTTGGTAAAAAACGGATGCCGAAGAAAAGCTTTTTAAAGAGCATCCTTTGGGTGGTCATGCAATCAAATCAACGAGGATCAGCGCCCCAATCCCAAACCTCTTTTCACGAAGTTTAGTAATAGATTTGCATTAAAAAGCCGAAAAATTCAAGAAATTACGATTTTAGTACCATGAACCCAACATGAGACATTAGCCTACAGAAACTTCGAAGAGCGTTAATGGTCACAAGTTAACCGCTTACAATGTTTTTTTTCCAAATCCCGTTTGATAGAACAAATTTCATCACTTTCAACAAAATTTTAGATGATGAAACACTTAACCTAAGAGCGAAAATGAGTCAATGAAGAACTTCTTATATTTCACCAGTAAAAATAATTTCTGTGAACATTATTGAAACTAATGGGCCAATTCAAGATTTATTTTCACAATTTCAGAAATGAATCCAGCGTTCAAGTTTCATTAGAATGGATAACGTTTCACAATTTTCACCGAAGCTTAGGCAGTCTTCAAATTACATTTCAACAAACCAAAACTTAACTTGTCAAACAGTTTTAGAGGTTATTATAATTCAATGATCAACCTGCAAAACACTTTCTGAAGCCGACCAAGCTAAATATTTGACGCAAACAGCCGTGGCAAAGATTTTGTGGAAATTACACTAAAATTGGGGATAAAGTGATTAACAGCTTATAATATAAATAATTCGGGAAGAAGACAGTAACTTGCAAAATGATAACGGCACAAGAAATCAATTGAAGCGATCAAAGTAATTGTGTTTCAAAACTGAAAAAAAGCTCTTGCTGAAACTTAGAACTGAACATGAAAATCAGAATAAACTCCATTGATAAGCCAACATTCACAATTTCGACATTTTCGAACATGCTGGAATGACAATTGATGTTTTTACAGCGTCAGAGAGATGTTTCAAGCAAGAGGAATTGTCCAGGAGTCAAAATGGCCAGGGTGTGAGCATGCGTTGTAGCTCACGCCGAGACATCTTACTAGCACACAAAAAACCTCCAATCGACATATTTGGACAAAAAATTCACAGCGGACATACACGGAAGATCAGCAAGATGGTAAAGAATACACAGAACAGTGAGCGGGCATTTGCCAAATTTATACCGAGTGCGTTGCAGATTGTTCATCATCCGGTTTTCTTTTCTGCCAGATCCTTAAAAGTGTTATAACTCTAGTAGAGCCCTAGTACAGTTACAGGCCTAGTACAGCTTATTTTTAACCAATTTAGAAAAGGAATATCCTGGTGGAAAGCTGCACTCATGGGTACATTTTCAGCTCGATCCGAGTTTGAAAATGATCAAAGTCTTAGACGAGACGAAATCATCCAATACAGCCAACAAACAATTGGATGCTTTCTGTGCTCCCAAAAAAGGGAAAGTTTGCATTGTTGCCATTTGAGGCGACTATATCATCGGGTCTACCGCTAGAGGGCGGCACCGTTGGACCCTTAAAATTCTCTGTGTCTATTTCGACCCAGCTCTTAATTTCTGCGAACACTGCAGACAATCTGCAAGTAAAGCCACGATATTGGCTTTACTTGCTAGGATATTGGTCCTGAAGTCACTGTCGGGCAAAAATTGGGGCCAGTCGAGAAAGACTCTTATGGTCACCTATAAAACTTGAATAAGACCGATCATTGATTACGCCTGCCCAGCCTGGGCCCATATCACCAGTAATATTTCCATTAGTAAACTGCAGTAATATTCAGCTTTTCGAATAGTGACCGGGTGCACTAAAATGAGCCTTAGTGACCATCTACACTCAACAGTACAAATAACTTAAAGTGAGAAATCACAATAAACTACTCGCATCTCAATTCGTTTTTGAAACTTACGTGCCTTCAAGTCCATCACATTTTAACCAGACTCATCATCCGACTCTCCCAAATTTACGCTCAAACATTGTAGACACTAACATAAAGTTACTCCAACTAGCTTTAATTGAAGCAAACGCGTTCAACTCTATAAGCGAATTTAAGCCAGCTAAAAATTTTTGTTAATACTTGCACGAACACAACCAAAAGGCAGTTCTATCAAGTCAAAAAAAGTAGAAATAAGCCTGGAATTAGCAAAGTGTGTAGGTTACGTGCAGGATTCGAATTCACGACCTTGCAATTTTGTCTTACGCACTAACCAACCAGCCAATGATGCTTAAATTCCTCAAAAACTAGTTACTAATAACGAAGTTACATATGATAATAAATTGCCAATTCGATGCCGCAAAAGGGACAACAAATACAAAAAGACACAATTTTGCATGTAATAAATTGGAAAACATAGAGCCAAATTTTGTATTATTTATGCATTCCAAGAAAATGCGAGATACATTGAATAAGAAAATTTCTGCAATCTTATCATTGTACTGCTGTTTGAAACCAAAAATTTTTTCTATTCATTTGATTAATTAAAAATGCAACAACTGTGTTAACTTTTTACTAATCAAATGTCAGAGCAAATATGACATTATACTGCTACGGCAGCCTCTCGTTCGAAGAGCCACCAAAAAGAGAACTTTGATTTGCGACTTACGTTGGAAAAAAGGAGGTTCGATCGAATTAACTAGCTTCGCAAGCGTAAAAATGCTTCTAAAGCACATTCTTACTCATCAAAAGATCAAAAGGCCATCGATGAAGCCTCCCACCAAAAGTTCTCCCTCTAAGACCACTAGACGTCTCGCCAACAGAACTAACACTCCCCCGCTCAACTAGACGCACCCTCGCTTAAATATTATCCGACTACAGTCTCTACTTTAACACTTTTCAAAATAGGATAGACCCGAACGTCCCCCTAACTGCCCCCAATGCTCAGCAACCCAATACTTCTTTTTAACTGTCAAAAAAACACAACTTCCCTGACCACAATAGACCCGTGGCTAGAGGGATAGAGGCCGCAAAGTTCCTTAGACTCGGCCCAAATATCGGGCTAAAAAACAACTAGAACAAACAAAAAGGAAAATTTTTCATTGAACTAAAAAATACTATCTTTTTTGAAACTTCCGTAATTCGAAAAAAAACATGCACGTTGAAGCTTTCGAAAATTCTTTAAAAAAATAGGTATTTAATACTTTCTTTATTTAACTAGCCCAATTAGAGAAAACTGAACGTTGATTGGGATTGACACGTAAAAACTCTATAAGACATGCATCAAGTGGTATAAACACACCCTGGCGTACATCCCTAATATTATTTGAAAACCACATGTTTACTTATTTGAGAGTTTATGTGTAATGTAAATATAATGTACTTTCTGTTCTCACTTGTGTTCAAATCAAGTTCAATAGGCTGAAAACAGACAAAATGAGACAAAAACTGAAATGAAACAAAAACAATCGACATTATTGAGCGAAAGACCACTCCAATCTTTCGCCATATTTCTCGTTCATTAGCATTCAAAAAAAGACACTCGATGAAAAATCTTTGCCGTTACCCTCTATAATTGTAAATAAATTTTGAAAAATTAAAATCGATTTCGATGAAGCTTTTGAATTGTCAATAGAGCACCGTTTCCTAACTTAATTCGAAAATGGAGCTCCAAAATTCAAATCGATGCCAGATCGCAGCAAAATTGAAAAGGCGCTCCAGGGAACATTCAATTATTCATTAACCATTAACTTACAATCAATTAAATATAAGTATTTCCCATATAATTACATTTTAACAACATGGACCTCCTTAACTATTTCACCCATTTAGCAAAAGGGGGAGATTCGGTACAAGGTGCAAAATTTACATGTACTTTTAACCCTACAATTAATTCGTTGTATTCGTGGCAATTCGTCATTTGGTACTCTAGGGGGGGGGATAGTTTAAGAGATCCCATATCATCACTTTACAACTTCGATATATAAGAATCAAGAGATGAAATAACATCAAAATGCTCGAAAGTTAACTCAACATGAAAAGAAAATACAAATATCTGAAATCAAATTTATCAGCATCAAGTTAGACAATGCCCAACATTCAGTTGCACCATGTACTGCTATAATAACGACTGGTAAATATACTGGTCTTCTTGCAGGTCATTACTACGTCCAACACCTGTTCGTTTGCAGGAATTCGTTTTCATTAGTTGTCGTGATGAGAAACACACTGCTTCAAGTAAAATTGGTAATACTTATCCTAAAACAAGAAAGAAAAATAACGTGCTCGCTATTTAGATACATGCAGGTGCTACACGCATACACTATCCGCGATCTAATAAGTTTATACGATTTTATGGGGCCTAAGAAATTAGACGATAAGCAAATTAGACGAATGCTACTAAAACAAATTTAGACAAATTTTTTCTTACAGATCTGGCATTTTAGACGTCACTGCTATGAAAAAGAAAGGGCCAACACAATTTTTCACAAATACAGTCAATCACTCACAAAGAGTCAAGTTTCACAAATACAAAAAGAACAAAATGACAATACCTATCAAAACAATTAGTTTAAATGAACATAAATGTCAAAACCGAATATTACAGGAGAGTTTTGAATTGAATAAATTGTGCATGATTGACATGTAAAATTTTTGGCCACTAAAATTTAACTGTTGTCTGCAAACAATTCGATTTTTCTCACGCAATTCGTCTGCAAACAATTTTAATCTCTCTCACTTTCGTCCATTTTCTCACAATTGCAGTTTTTCAAAATCATCTAATTTCCTTTCAAGTGCCTCCGTCTAATTTGCTTATCGTCTAATTTCTCAACCACCGATATTATCTATAAAATGTTTATTTGAAATATAGATGACCTATCTTTTCGCAGACCAATCTTTTAGCATAAAACGTGAAAAATTAGTCTTTAGCATACCAACGTAATAGAACTGACGCATAATTGATTGACAAACGTAGAAAGACTGGTGCATATCCTCAGAGCCGCATTACCTGATAGTTAAAAAAACTAAAAGTTTCTTGTTAAGGTAATTAGAAACTAAACAAAACTTGGACCACTTTTATTCAAAGTTTAGGATATTTCATTTTTTTTTCTCGAAACTTAGCTAACAAAAAATGCAATATCTATGCATAATAGCTTTGATTCTATGGAATTAGATAGCAATAAAAGAGGTAATTACTTTGATGCACAAATTTTTTCGACAATAATTAAACAAGAGCAGAAATAAATATGAGTCTTGTGATAGACGCGGGTAGCAGGCGCCAAAAAAGTGTTCAAAACCTCGATTTTTTGCCTCTATCGCAGAAAGTTTTTTCAAAAATAAAATTTTTACAGCGTTTCGGGATAGCTCAAGCTTTGTCGATTAAATATTTTTTTGGAAGCAACCATTTACCCCTCATATAATTTTTCTATTCTGAGGGTCTATAAATTACTTGGGGCGGGGGCAAAGATGCGAAAAAGCCTTTTAATATTATCTATAAAAATATAGATTATTTTTTGGTGAAGTGAATCAAATTTTTTGGCTATACGGGATCAAAAAATTTTTTGGGCTTCCAGGATCGAATTTAATTTTCGACTATCCGGAAACGGATTTATTTTTCGGCTATCCAGGAACGGATTTATGTTTCGGGTATCCGGGAACGGATTTATTTTTCGGCTATCCGGCTTAGTCACACGCCATCAAAAGACTCAATCTTTTTGGATACCCGGTTCGGCTATCCGTGTATTCCGCTCCGTGACACGCCACCAAAAGACTCAAGCAAGCTTCCCTAAGACTATTATCTCATGATTTGTCAACAAAATTATCAACTTCACAAACAGAATAGTCCAATTTAGCGGCGAAACACAGACTTGCCCGCACAATAACAGCCTAATGAAAGCGTTATGGAGCAAACGGTCTCTTCTGGCAAATGCCGAATTTGAAATTAGTGTTCTGTCTTGCTAACTGTTTTGAGTCTGCTAAAATACCTAGCACCCGAAATGGTATATCCTATCCTGCAACATGTCTTGTGTAAAAAATTTGTGGCATTTAATTTTAATGAGTAAACCAAGACAGTTACTGATTGCCTCACAAATTAATTTGTATGAAACTTTCTTTACCTTTTTGGGTTTGACATTCTCCAAAATGAAATTTCTCTTGTTGTTCAGATCCTTAATTTGTTTGCGTTTCAAAGTAGGTTTGCTCCTGAAGCACACAAATATCAATTTAAGACCAAAAAAGAAGTTCACAAATTTCAAATTAAAGATCAAGTTAACATGCACCTCCCCCAAATAGACCAAGTTAAAATCATCCACCCAAGCGTTCAATTTAAATTAAATTTACTAAGCGCTGCGAATAAAAAGCTTTGTCCTGATTGGCGGATAATTAGAACTCATAATCAAGTTAACATTCCCCCCCCCCCTAAACTTCTTTAAGGGGAGAGAGGATGTTAACTTGGTCGCAAATTCATTTGCATGCATTTTTGTGATGCGAAAGCTCTTAATAGGCGACAACTCGCAACAGCAGAACAACCAACCTGATTCTACGCCCATCGAAGCTTTCGAGCCAAAATTAAGCGTAGCAGAGCAAGCGATTGCCACTTGCCAATACATTTCAACGATTTTTTGCCTATAACAAACTGTCGCTCAACCATGAAACTTGACGGTCGAATTTTTCTATGTCTGCTTTCGTTAAATTTAAATATGTGAAGTAATTTTAGTACTTGTTAGAATAGAATAATTGTAGAACTATGTTTAATTCACCTTCCAATAAAGGCCCCCAGGAGGAAGAGTACGATACAGACAGCAACACATGCCGCCATTAGGTTGTAGTCAGCTATCACATTAGAGATCATACTTCTAGTCGGGATCTGAAACAACAACGCTGTTTATGAATTTAAACAATCATTTTTTCATTTCAACCAATGATATGAAACAATTGTGCCAGTTTACGGTTGAGATACAGTGCAGATGTTGAGATACAGTACAGGGGAAACATTTCTCAATATACAGCTGAAAAAACTATTCCACTTATTCCAGCGGGTTGTGCGACAGGTTGCTTGTAAATAGCAACTGGTTTATTTAACCCAGCCAGCACTTCTCAACAAATGGTCGAATTTAAAATAAAGTTCAGTTAGACGGATCGCTCAACTCATAGACGGATCGCTCGAAATGTCCGTTGAAATGATACTGAAAATAGCTACAAGAAATGATACTAGAAATGATACTAGAAATGATACTATAAATGATACTAAGTTCAAACACTGAAAAAATTTTCAATTTGTTCTGGAAACCTGAACCAAGATTGATAGTGGACCCCCATCGGACCCCAAGTGTTCTGAACAAAAACGCTCACCAAGTAAATTTTTTCAATCATTGTGTAGTAGTCTAGAGGAATGACGGTGACGATGGTTTTCTTGGTGAGGAATGCGTCCAGCGCACATGAGCCCCAGAGCACCAGAGGTAGAAATGAGAGAGTCCAGAGGAAGTAGGCTCGGAAGTTAGCACTCGAATTCCTGGATTTCACCTCGCTAAAAAATCATGGACAAATCTGAACTACACAAAGTTTGGCCAATTTCACAGTCTAAGATTTCCAAAAAGCTTGAAAAAATTAAGTTAAAAACGTTTGCGAAAAACTAACAGAAAGTGAAATTTATAGTTAAGGTCGCGGCAACACAAGCATAATAGATCAAAGAACTCAACTTCAAATACTCAATATGAAAATCGATTGCCATGCCATCTGAGTTACCACTTACCCATCCTTGTCTAGTTTGTGCTGAACCTGGTCTAAGATGATGTCGCAGTCCTTGTCCAGCTGGTCCAGTGTGTTCTGTATAGTGAGGTTGATCGTCTTCTCTATGTCCTTACATACATCCTCTATCTGGTTTACACACCTAGTCGACTAAAAAAGAACAGCGTTTGGCATGGATACGAATTCAGTTTCATTATCCAAACAGACCATATATATTTCATGTGCATACATCTTATTCGAATCAATTTTTTTGGTGCTACATAAAAAAATTCTCGAGTCTGATGCATTGGAAATTACAACTTAGAGACAAATTAACAACTTCTCCCTTTAAACATTTAAGATGATATTGAATGATCCCTTGAACAAGAAACTGCAAACTGATCGAAGGATTAATCAAAGAAAAAGTTATTAACATCAATAAATTTAAAATTGTGAACTCGGAACAAGTAGATTTTTTTTGATCGATCGTGTCTATCATTAAACTCATTGACAAATAAAAATTTGCCGCAGTTTAAAAATTTCTTGGCTGGAAAAAAAGCTCGAAATCAAATCACTCTACCTTGGTGTTGGGCCCAGGTACATAAATGGTTGGCATTTCGAATCCTGCCTTGTTCAGACTGGGTCTCTTGCACAGTTCCTGAGCTATCTGGATGAGCACCTTCTGTCTATCGGACTCTGGGCCAGCCTCGTCCGCTGAAATTGAAGGCCCATTTAAGTCTCATAAAAAGAAAAATATGAAGCCAGTTCATCTCATTGCTAAAATTGAACTAGCATAAAACAGCAGCGAGTGCGAGGATTCAACTGATCGCAACCAAAACTTTTTTACTGGCAAGAGGTTACAAGCATAATTCAATGTATCTTTCCAAATATTGTTTGAATAATCAATTCATGAAAACTGCGCTATACAATCGAAATTTATTAAGATGTACCTTTTGAGAGGTAGAATCGCATCCTTTCTGGTCTGATCTCGCTGAGCTCTTCTACTATGTTTAGTGTCCTTTTGCATAGAGCCTGACCAATTGGATCGAAAAAGACAAAAATGAGATCTGCTATCTTCCCTGAAATACAAAAGAGGTTCATCTAAAGTAATCAAAACAAAATACACCGTCTTCTTCTTACAATGAATTTTAGAATCACCAAGCCCATTTCTATCAAACTGTTGTCATCATAAAAATTAGTATTAAGAAAACCAACTAAAAAAGCCGCTCTCAACTAAGCTTGATTTACAAAATACAGATGATCGAAAACTTATGTGCTACATACCTAGCCATAGAATAGCCTGGTCGACATCGAATCCATACTTCATGTCTCCATCTGTCAGTCCGGGAGTGTCCAGGAAGTTGACCAGAGTAAACTTCTTGTTCCTCGAAGTAGAGATCTCAGTCGAAAGGTTCTCAATCACACCTAAATGACACATTGATCACAATTTAACATCGAGGGCCAAGTACTTTCATTTTGTTTTTACGGTTTATTCAAAATAAATTTGGGCTGTGGTAATCGGAATATTCTGCAAGAATGACAATATCCATGGATTAAAACAGCTTCGCGAAGCACATTAGTTCAATGCAACATGCTGTTGTGGGTTACGTAACTAATGACCCCGATCGAAGTTAATTTTCTATGCTTAATCTTGATCAATTTCCATTTTAATAGGTTAAAATTGGACTTCACTCTCCTTGGAATTTGACCTATTCTTCTATAATGGGTACAATAATGGTGGAATGCGGGTCCAAAAAAATCAACTCTTTCAAGCACCACTCAGTGGTACCTGGTATTTCCTGGAGAGGTTTGAAATAGGGATTCAAATGTAGAGACGCATTGCCCTGCAGAGACTCCCTCTTCCTCCCACTGGTGACAAAAGTGAATCCCTGAGTTTCAATGGCCACTCCTGTCTTCAGAATGTGCTCTTCTATGTACCAGTTGATGAAGGAACTCTTTCCCGCTGAGTGGTTGCCAATCAGCAATACTGTGATTTTCTTCCGAGGAGCTAACAGGTCGATTGCAAAAGATCTTGCGATGTTGACGAGACCTATATTTGGCAAAAGATTCGATATCATGAAAAAATTCATTTGTAAGCTGACTAAAATCTCAAAACATACCAATTAGATGCTTGTTTAGAACTTCCTATTTAAACGGAAACGTATCCAAATCTTTGACCAGTTTTTGTCATTGATAATTGGAATCTTTTATAAGAAATATTTGTTATGAAACAGAAATATCATTAGAACTAGCACAAAATTGAATGTTACCATTATCTTCATCCACGTACAGCTGATGTACATCTCTCAATATCTTCTCATTTGGCGTGAGGGATCCCTCAAAAGCAGCATCACCTCCTCTTTGGCTCATTCGACCGCTCATTTTTAACCACTCAATCAAACAAATTACACAGAATATTGAAGGAAAGAACAACCCCTGTTGGATACCACAAACCACAAGGAGAATGCCACTACAGAATAAACGCTAGTTTGATTCCCACTTCAGGTTAAATACTATGGATGGTGTTAATAGGTTGCGGTACCAACTAATCTGAAACGATGTTTCAATATTTCAAACAATACTCAAATAAGTAAACAGCTCAGTATGCAATTAGAGTATGTCCCACAATAATTAGGTTTCAAAAAGTGAACCTCTTTGTTATCTATCAAAATATCTTCAAGGAAATTATGACAAACGTTTAACTTCTTCGGTGACGGCTGTTCAATTAAAATTTATGCAAATTAGGAAGAAGAAGAAATAGTTTTTCTGGCTTTTAAAAGTAAGGACTTTTTGTGGTGACAGTTTATATTTCACGGTAATTTTTCCTACATTTCGTTTTTTATTCAATCACGCAACCTGATCGTCTTCAATAGCGTCTCTAAGTTCGTCTAATTTAGTCTCCTTTCTGAGCTTCAGACAACAACTTCAAAAATTCATGTGGAAAATTTTGTCGGTAAACCTATTTTTTTTTATCTTGATTTGCAAATTGAATCGTTTTGGCAATTGGGAAAAACGATTAGTGAAAATAATGATACAACTGATTTTCAATTCATGAGTTTTGATGGATGATAAGTCATTATTAGCGTATACAAATATTCAGAACCAGCTAAGTGTAAGCTTTGCATGGTATAATCATTTGTTTTGAGGAGAAGTACTTGGGTATCTGATAAAAGAGTCTGCAAAACTGAAGCATGCAATTTTTCAATAAGACTATGATGCTTCAGATTCGAATTCACATTTAAAATTTTTGCTATAGAACCGACTCGCATATCATCAACATTATCTACATATATCGCTCACTTTATATATAAGAACTTATCAAAAGCTAGAACAAAAGTCATGCAGTATGAAACATTGCTGATCATTATCTATATTCACTTTTAGAGATCCTACTTTTCTAAAATACAAATCAAGGCTAAGTAATTTTCTCAAAGATTTGAAACTATCTTTCGAAGCGAAAGAAAATGGGTTTCTTCTAATTGAAGATCCTGAGGAAACCTTTGAAAGTTTTCAATCTATCTTTGAAAAAGTCAAAAACCGATAAGCGCCAAAGAAGAACATAAACCTTAGCAAGAAACCACATCAACCATGGTTCAACAGCGCGTTAAAAAATCTCAAAACAAAGAGGAACGAAGCCCACAGAAACTGAAAAAAAAAATATTGAAAATAGTACTTTCTTGAATACTTTTGCTAATTTAAGAGAAAAATTCGATTATGCGGTCAAAATGAATAAACCAAAAACTTTATTGGAATAAATTTCAGAATTGTGTTGTAAATCAATACAAAAATATAAACTACTTAATGAGCTAAATGGCAAATCTTTTTCTGGTTCTAAAAAGCCCATTTTTGAATCATGCCAAAAAGTAAATGATAACCCAACTGAAAAAGATGTTGCAAATATTGGTGACATTGGTGACAACCTGAAAACAGATATTCAAAATTTATCTCCACCTTCAGTACCTAACTGATCATTAAATGGGAGCAGTTTGACGAAACAAAAAATTGAGAGGTTAAAAGAGTGTGGTGATTTGGAACATTGAGGATCTCGACCTCACTGTGTAGGTGGGCAGTGGAACTCATGAGTGTTGAGCCGGTAATAACTCTGAGGGCTTGATTTTGGGTAACCTGTAGGTAGTTAATGGAGGTTTTGCTGGCGGCATGTGAATAGGCAGGGGAAGCATAACCTAAAATGGGGCGTAATAAGGCTTTGCAGGTTAAGAGGAAGGTTTTTTTAGACTGTCACCAAGAGGATCCTGCCAACGCTTTCAGGACACCTATCCTGCGGCGAGCCTTGTCAGCGGATCTTTTACAGTGTGCATAAGGTTGGGTCAAAAGTAACCCCTAAAATTTTTGGGCTTTTGTTAGAGGGAGTTTCTCGTTGTTTAAAAGTACACTGGGTGTTTAGTTAAAATCTTTCTTGTACGATGAAAAAAGGGTAACTGATCCTTTAGAGGACGCGGAAGATAACTTCCTGGAAGTGAAAAAATTTAAAAAGATGACGAGAAACTTATCAAACCCATGGTTGCCTGCTTACGGGGGTTTATTCTAGGGTTGAAGTTCAAACGCTAAAACTTGACCTTACAGAAACTCTTATGGGAGATATGGACGATTTTTGAAAAAATTGAAAAACTTAGAAAAAATCAAAATTATTTTAAATTTAGTTGTTTTTTTTTTACCGGCGGTTACGAAGGTAAAATTTAGGATTTTAATTAGATTGACAATACTTGACCGACTAGATGCTCGTAGCTTAAGAGATATGGATGAATTTACGATTTTTTAACAGAATTAAAAACATTTTAAAAAATCATTTCCTGATAGTGAAAGAAACATGCATAGCTAGGGTAGGCGCTTGTGGGCCATATGGCCCCTTTGTCTATCCTCTCCGAGTTTCATTCATTGTTAATAATTATTAATAACAATGAATTGCTAAATTTATGTTATGATTGACCGGAGAAATTTATTCTTTCTTTCTTTCTTTCTTACAATCTCCCGTGTACTTTATCATTGAAAATCCTTGCTGCAATGTATACAACTTTCTCGTGCGTAGTATTATAAATGATTGTGTTTCGCTGCTTGTGTTTCGCTGTGAATAAATGATTGTGTTTCGCTGCTTGTGTTTAGCTGTGAAATATTTATCATTGAAAATCCTTGCTGCAATGTATACAACTTTCTCGTGCGTAGTATTATAAATGATTGTGTTTCGCTGCTTTTTAGTAAGGTTTCATCTGCATTCCGATTAAAACTGTTGTAGATTAATTCTGCATTCCGATTTATCCTGAATTAATCAATGACCGTTAGGCCAATGAGGTAAAGGATAAAAAGCAAAGGTCTAAGAACTGAAACTTCTGCTAGGCCTACTTTCTATAGACTTTTGTATTACTCAAAAAAATTTCAATGTTGTTTGCGATTTCAAATAAACGACTTAAGTTACTGATCAGCTCGCCCTGTAAAACGAAAACAGGTAAAGTTTCTGTATCGCTGCGAAATCAGATAATTAATTTCCATTTTCATAATTAGAAGGCCATCACGTTTTCTTGACGTTTAAATTTTTGCTGTGCGATAGTGAGTTTGTCTTCCTTTCAAGACAGGAAAAGAAGTGAACAAGAAAAAAAAGTCAAACCCAAGCTGTAATTGTTCAATAGCGCTTATAATTTCTTTATATTGATTTTTTTTTGGAAGATCCGAGACTGATGTTTACCCGACAAAATTGTCAATGAGATTCTACGGATTAATCTGTCTAGGTTACTATCAACCGATACAAAACTTTGTCGAATAGTTCATTTATTGCCGACAGTTTTCAATTGAGTTACTTAGCAAGTCAATCATTAGGACAAGTTATACTTTCAGAGTGACGGTTGTCATATTCTGACTCGTGTTCATTTATATGGTGCGCTAAGTAGAAAACTTTTGTTGTGTGAAGCCGTTCGTTCTCAGCATCGGTTGTAATTTCTTCTTTCCGTGAACATTGGAGAATTGCTTGCATCTTGAGTCTACATCTGTCTTGCGTGGTTTGAGCAATAAAACTGACACGGTTTTGATCTGATATATCATTGAAATATATCACACCTACCCACGCAAGAGCAAAGGGAAAGAATCAAGAATACAGCTGCAAGCAAATGAACGAATTTTTTTTTCACGTTATTGTCCTTTTCTCTGTCACTATTAAAGATAAAGGGTTCATATATATTGACAAATTTAGATGAAAATTTTTCGAACGAGCAAGCCGGGCCAAAATTTAAGAAAATTCGTTTCTAAAGCTTAAATTAACCATCATATAATAACTAGTTTTAGAGGCGTACGTGCTGTGGTAACTTCTTCGCAAACAGTATAAGGAATTTGAATTTGTGCATTAATTGGTTCTCTGGGAAGCTGATGATCTTAACGTACTCCTTTCAAAATGTCTCAATTTTTGGCCCGACTAAGTCGTTAAAAATAGTTTTATCTGGCATTTGTCAATATGTCAACCCTTAATGTTAAATAGTTGCAGAAAAAACGACAAAAAATTCGTTCACTTGCTCGTTCAAATTAAAAAGTAGCAATGTCCCATGACTGCATATTCGTTATTATGCTGTCCAAATATTTTTCGAGTTTGTTCAGGTTTTCATCAGTTAGAGAAGTTGGAAGAATATTCACATTTTTTACTCATAGCTGCAATGAACATTTAAAGTTTTTGAAAAACTTAATACAAAAGCACACAGTTATACATCCACATTTTTATATTTAAGGATCTTGCCCAGCAAAAATTATTGAGGAAAGAAAAATTTGCAATTATTTAACCAAAATCCTTGTCAATCCATAAAAGAATAGACCACTACAGAAACCAGTGGTTAATCTTAACGGTAATAATTTTAATTACTAAACTGATGAAACGAAAGATGTCTCATTTGCCCTACGGGAATCAGTGACAAAACAGTTCACAGAATCGTTACTTCTCAACTGAGTAATTGTCAAACCCAGCGTAAATCACTGGGGCTTGCCTCTAAGGCAACTTTCCACAGGAGCTGGATTCTTTCTTATCCATGCTAGACGCGCTTAACTTCAAAGTTACACTCAAAACTTTCCCATCAACAAGTTAAGTTCAAGTTGGCACACATTTTATTACAGGGTTGTCTATCAACAATAGCTAGTCGCAAAAAACTAGACAATTTTTATGCTTTCGTTTTCTTAACAATTAAAAAACCTGAATATTGGAAAATAGCGGTATTGACACTCTCTCACAAATTCGACTAGAATTTAACCAAAACAAAAAAACTTGAAACTTTTAAATATTCGCATTGCAAAGAATTTATCAGGCCAAAACAATTCTAACAAAGTCTATGCAGAACAAAATAAGTCTTTATTCAGATTCAAAAGTGGAGAAAATAATTGCTTTAACTTTACTAACATATAATTCATTATTTATTATAATAATTACTATAATAATTCATTGACAAAATGGACAGCAGAGTGTTGCAAAAATGTCAAAAAACTCAAAATCGAAAAGTTTTTAGAAAGATTCCAACCAACAAAACATAGCCAACAGACAGTTGGAAAAGCGTCGAAACTTCGAG